CCTATGTCCACGGCAGTCTTAAGCTGGTAAATAATTGCTTTTGAACACACAGGGCCGGCTTATCGCAACCGCCTCGGCGAAACGGAGGAAGCGGGGATTAGGGTGACGTAATACAAGTGTGAACGCTGATCCGAGCTCTATCCGGTGACGCTTAGTCAGTAGGTGTTTACCTATTGAGGAAGCTGGCGGTTTGCGCTGGGTTTTTGTCCCTGAGTGACATTTGCTGCAGCTACACAGATATCTCTTCTTGCTGCTCCCAACCAGTAATTAGTATTTATGCTAGAGCCCTGTAAACGGGTCGCACTTAGACAGCAGACATAGACGGTCTTAGTTTCTAGCATGCGAGCAAGGGCTGCCTGTGATTCGATCTGCATCAGCGTCCGAACATTGAATTTTTTTGGCTTGAATTGGGAACGGGGCGCTAGGAATGGCATGACAACACGACTTGGCACACCCCCGGACCTAAGCTTCTGATTCGTATGGCGGAACGCCTACCCAAGGCGGCACAGTGTTGTGAACTCGAAACCGGAGGGGAGAGACCAAGAATGGAGGCTTGAACAAACATGCGATGAAGTGATTAAACCGTGGTGCGGCTGAACGCGGTTTGGCAGGTTCGGTCGCCAGCATCTCGGTCAAGGCGAGGAGTGTCAGAGAGTGACAGCGGAGAGAGCGAACGAAGAATTGTTTAGGTATGGTTCCATGGGTTAGATGAGCGTGGTGTTTCCTGGTTGCCTAGGCCGAGGAAGTGCGTTGACTTAGGGGACCCTACCCTGAGCCTTGGGTCAGAGAGGATCTGACCCGCAAGGCGGTGGGGCGATCGACGCGAACCGTTTATCCGACTATCTAAGTGAGGCTTTCGAGTAGAAACAAACTACTTGGGTAGTCCAAAGAGCCCGAGTGAGGCAGAAAGGAAGCCAGGATTCCCTGGGACCAAGGAACACGTCGCCAGACACCAAGGTCATTGACAGTCGGGGGGCTCATACTCCTTCGTAGAAGTCGGTGACCATCGAGGTTGTTCTTCCACTCTCCGTTAAGTACTTACTTCTGTGACTAGAGGTGAGTGGTCGATGATCCTATAGCCGGTCACATTGGCTTTGACACAGCGTCTTGCGAGCTCTTGTATTTAATGAGGAACCAGATGACCAGCCTAGAACCCCCACGCTACAGTACGCTGCCGCTGATTTTCCGCGACTGCTTGTTCGTCTCGCCTGAGAACAACCGTAACTTATTCACAGTTACTTTCGCAGGGAAGGCATTCTCTGTACCGTAACCTGGGGACGCGCCTGGTGGCGTACAACTCCGCCTAGCCAACCAATGGTCGGTTCACTTCCGATTCGATGTTATCTGTTTCTGCGCCTAAAACAAAGACCGTTCGCGACTAATGGCAGTCGCCTCCAATGGCCTGAGAATGTAGGGCTGCAGACTGTGTATCGGGATGGTCGGTGACTCATCGGGATTGACATGGTGGCCGATGCACTGCAAGTTTCTTTTGAGTGCCGCGGCAGATCGGTTCCTCATTTCCACCGAATCCGCCTTCACCGATCCCATCTGGCTGCGTAACCACTTCGAAATGTGTTCATTGATTCTGACATCTAAATTCGGTCTGTGCGTCCGACAGCTATCTCCGCAGCTACGGGTGTATTTGTATAAATAATGCAACTTGCACTGCTTAGTTATCGGTGTCTTGATGGAGCACATAAATGGATGTCTTGTTGACGTCAGCAACAATAGTTTAGCTGCATTGTACCGTGGTGGCGCGAGGCGCACCGGTTTGCCATCGATTAGCTAGTTAGCACTCTCATATCACCGCGTTTTGCCTGATTTATGCTTGAGGTGCCTGCACGAAATGACTGAGGCATCTCACATATTTTTTCATTGGTATTAAAAGACAATTACTTTCTGTTTCACACGGACAGTCACGAAGGATGGCAGGCGAATCATCTCATATGAGGTTAACTGTTTCGGTCAGTGGGCTTTGTGTTTCTGAAGGCATTTAGTGTTTGTTATCTACTCACGCACTCGCTTTACGTGCAGTGCATCAGGTTATCGCAATTTAAACGTTAGGGGACGCATTTTCTGTACAGTTTTTCCATCTTCGTTGTTGCGATGCTGAGCATTTACAGACTCGATATGATCCGAGTGATGTGTTTCCCGTTCATGTGTCTTTATTCCAGTTTACCAGCTGTACTATCGAGATGTCTGCCACTGCAGGCATTTGTAACAGATTGTGGGGGCGACCAGTACCGGATACGCAAGAACAATCGACCGTGGGGGTTTTCACAACTATTATGTATTTACACGATCCGGGTAAATCGTACACGTCACATTTTAACCTCTACGTTAACCACCACCGAGAGCCTGGTAGCCAATTATGAATTGTTCTACCTGCATCCACCCTCTTCTGAATCAATTGAAACACTATCGTTTTCGCAGTCCGACCTATGCCTGAGCGCTCTGCATCAGCGTTGTGTAAATGGCTCGTGTGTCCTCTTTTTGTATTTATCACTTCGAGTTGATCTGTTTGATAGCCAGATTCAGTCAGACAGCTGTCAAGTCCTATGTGGACTGGTTATTTGCGTATTTCGGCCAAATGCTACCGGTTATGAGTTCTCAGCCTTAATCTCGCGAACCAGCGACTTGAGCCACTGAGCCATGATCGACAACGGCGGACAACCATGACTGATAGATAGGTACGATAAAACGCAGCTCATCTTCCAGTGTCATGTCTGTCATGGACATACTCGGAGCCACTACTTCCTTCGGAAGTCTATGCAATAGACATCGAGCCATCGAGAAACCATGGAATGAATGTGTATCATAAGTAAAAAGATCACAAAATGGAAAATACGCAAAGAGAATTTTTTGTTTTTCACACGCCGTTTCGTCTATTTTTGTTAGTTTAGTGATTACGGTGATCAGTAGAATCATTGCATAGACTCATGCAAACCTTCTGTTGTCTGCGATTACGCACCATATACTCAAGAGTCTCCAGCGATCTCTTACTCCATAGCCCGCAAGACGTACGGGGTCGACATTTGGTAGGTTGGCTATCGCGCGATTTCTTCCAGTGTGGTCCTGCACGAGCGAATAGAGCATGCCGTAGTAAACGCCCTCGCGGCAAACGTAGGACGTGACCTACCCACCTCAGTTGACGTAGCAATATTAGCTTGTCTTAAGGTATGTCCGTATTACTTAGGACGCGACGTCTAACATCGATGTTACAAAAAATGGTGTTTCCTCCCACACCCGAGCTTACCTCCGCAGACAATCAAGACAGAAATCATTTACGACGCCACAGATGCCTCAGATCAGCGAAAGGTGATCGAGCATTGGCAATACACAACTCCCAAGTTAGCTGATGCTATATATGTTTCAGCCGCGCGCCTTCAATAATCAGCGAAGTTGGCAGCTAGATGCCAATCCTGGAGTAGAACTTTGCATTTCGATGAGGTGATGGTCACACCATACTTGGTAGCCTCAATCACCAAGCGACTTATAATAGCCTGTATGATCTTTGGATCGTCACCGAGGAAGGCGATCTCATCAGCATAGTCTATCATTCGTACGGGTGCCTGGACGAAACTTTACGCCAGAACCCTGGAGATCTTCCCTAGCGCTTAATAGAACATCCTCAATCGGAAATTTGAAGAGAAACGGGGACATGGCGCGTCCCTGTCGCACATCGTTAAGGACGGCGAATGGTGAAGAGAGCTTACCATAAGCCCTCACTTTGCTAGACACTGTTATTTAAAGCTCGAAATATAGCGGTATACTTTTCGGGTACCCCATTCCTTTGCAGACAGTGCCATAGAGTAGGCCGCTCGACTGAGTCGAACGCAGCCCGGATGTCCAAGATGTCGACACTGGTAGGCTGACGATAAAGGTGGAGCTACTAGAGCAGTTGGCGGAGCAAAAACGTGTGGTCCGCATAGGTAAGCAACTAGTTCTGTTTACTATACTTATAGAGGGGATATTCGTGTTTTTTCAGGTTTGTCGCAACCGGACCTTGACAGGCAGCCACCACACATTCCGGAAATCGCTAGGTTGCCTTTTCGTCCCATTGGGGCTTTCCAGTAGCGCACGTTCACCGGACTCGGGTGGATTCGAACCTGCGACCTTACTCTAGCGGTTTAAGCCACCGAGCCATGAGTGATTGCGGTAGATCGCTCCTCGTTCGTAGTAGCAATTTCCCTATAGTCGTCGATTGTTAATGCGTTCTAATCTGCCGTGTCACCTCGCACATTGTGACCCTTGGTTACCGTGCTTATCGAAACTTTTTCTGCTGGTTTAGCGCGAATTCTTTTGAATCATTATCCACAGGACTCTACTTCAGCATTTTTCTGCTAGGTACCTTAACTTTTGATAGGGGATTTCGATGGCCCATGAGTTGAACAGGGCGGTTGCCATCGAGAACAACCATTTATCGCTCAAACGCATCCAAGATATGGATACATGAACGAGGCCAGTAAAAAGAACAATTCGTGCGAAAAAGGACATTGCTCTTTTTCGGAAACGCTATTTTGTATATTGGGTGGCACATGTTAAAGAGCGATTCCGTAAGTGTATTGTGTACCCATCGTTTCTTGTTCTCATGAACCAAATTGGAATACTGTTTTTTCACCTCCTTCCTTTGATGGAACTTTTCAATTCAAAAACTTGTTTTATGCACTCATATGGGTGAATATTCAGCTGTTACACACTTTCAGCATTGTAAAAGAAGTAAAGCAATCAATTCACTAGTAGAATGATAATTAGCATAAACAGCAGTATGATTATGAGGCAAAGTTATTTTTAAGCTCCAAGACAACTGATGTCTGATCGTACAAAATGCGTGCTAGATATGGAATAGCGGGTGAGTGGTAAGGCCTTGTGCGGGCAGCATGTTGATACACACTCAGACAGTGCGCCATGAAGAGTGAGTGTCAGTAAGTATTTTCGATGCAAGCCTTATACATGAATTTGTGTGAGTGGACTCAAGAAGCATAACAAATTATGGCTTGGGAATTCCACTACACCGAGATAATTGCGTCAGTGACCTACCTAGGAGTTTGAAGTGCTTTCTTAGGAAACCAGGAACTATCACCGTAGAATAATAGGTCAAAAGGGGTAAGACACATGTGGTGATAAATCTCAGGATTAACTGGTGGGACATAATGGAGGATCGCAAACGAAGGGCGTGGAACGAAAGTCTCCACACCTTTGTAAAACACCATTAACATGGAGTGACCAGGAAAACTCACAAATGAGTGTTACACCTAGGTTCTTCACTAACACTCAAGAGTGCAATTTCTCACCATCTGTGTGAAGTTCGGGGTATTCCGTGAGAAGTTGCTGATAACCATGGCCTTTACGTAGACAGCAAATGACGTTATTGCATTTTGATGCATTCAGCGACAGAAAATGGACTCTGGACCATAATACTATCCTGTCCATATAGGCTTGTATTTTGTTGTTGAGGCTGCGATCGGTTGTTGCATACCCAAGACTCCGTCGTTTGCATATTTCAGCAATACCGCATCGGCAGGGGTAGGTAAAGAGGCGATGTAAGTGGAGAAGTGGTATGGAGATAGTATGGCCCCTTGAAGAACTCCAGTGTCTGTGGTGAGCAGCGAGGAAATTTTGCCTCCAACTTGAGTAAACTGGGCACGTCCAATTAAGTAGTCTCCCAAAAGGTGGACAGTAGAGCGTTGAATACCGGCATCGCGCAGGTCTCTCAAAAGAATCTCACGGTTTACACTGTCGAAAGCATTATCATGATTACGAAAACACATACGTACTTGACGACAGTACTGAATATACAAGATAGGCTAATGCGTCTTGAGTAGACCAGAAACTTGGGTAAGCAAACTATAGCGGATCATCTGGATGAGTCTGCTTCAGCAACTTTTCAAGAATAATCTTCTCGAATACGTTCAAGTTGACCGAGGTGCAGGCAATTAGTCGGCATTTATCCGTGCCTTTCTTTGGCACTGGTGTAATTCCGGCACTTCTCCAACAGTCAGCAATAGTACACTCTTTCCTGCACAACGTGTATAGGTCAGCAAGAAGCTGGACCAAGGAATCGGCACACACTTTGAGGACGCCGGGTGATAGTCATCATCCGGACCACTTGCTTTGTTGGAGTTTAGCTGTAGTAGTTTATTGCCCACAGTATTTCTGTAAGCGGCAGCTAAAGAGGTTGTGGGCAGATTCAATCGGGGGGAAGAAGGATGAGGGATGGAGTTAACATTGAAGCAGCTGAAGTTTCGGTTCAGTATTTTCAGGTCTACATCTGGATTTGTCACTCTCTTAGAGACTCCACTAAGTTGTTTCAGCATACCTCGGACCTCCTGGCAGCTACTATTTCCCAGTATGGTCTGGACATGTAGATGGTTTAGATAAAAATAGAAAACCATTTCACCGCTTTCTCTTTGAGTCTAGACAAGCATTTTAAGTGTGGTGATGAAAACCGGTCCTCAGGGATGAAAATGGGTTCCAGTGCGCAGCAGGTTTAAAAGTAGAAGTTGATGTAGCTCGTTAGCTAGTCGCATTATTTAGATACATCGTTGTCAAAAGATATACTAAAATCTGTGGATGAATTCCTTTCCTGAAGTCGATATATGTTCTCAAGCGAACATTGCCGCGTTTTAAGTCTACGATCATTACAACCATACCTCTATGATTTACTTTGCTGTACACAATGGGAGTTAGCTTGTAAATGAGTTGTCAATACTACCAATCGGTACCTGCTTACACACAGAAAAACAGCTTCGCATTGTTAACAAATATAAAATCTATAGTTGCTTCAAATATGATGGGGGAGTATACAACGTTTTGCAGCCCAACGTCTGTGAGAAATGTAATGTTAAACCTGTTGAAAGCACTAGCAAAGATGCATAGAGAAGAATCAATGTGGTCGATGACACTTGAAGTGAACTTCTCGTAAAATCCCTCGGCGTCAGAGGCAGGACAACTAGGGGCAATCTAGATATTAGCAAGCGAAATCAATTGCTAGCCACTTAAAGATTTTGGTTCACATTTCTAAATCGGACAGTTCATACGTGAAGAGGAAAAGCGAAACCAACCTTTTGTTGACGTGCACCACACAGTATTGACCTAAATGATGATACCTCCGCCGCGGCTGTTGTATGTAGTTGACTGGTCGACACGATGACAAGTGAATCTCTCGATCGCTACAACCACGTCAACATCATGGAGGCATGTCACTTGAGTCATAGTAACGCCAAGCTTCGAGGATTCACGACAGCGAATTTTGCTTCTAAACTCATCCATTTTGTTCATAACTAATCGGGCATTTGAGCTTATTATAATGGGTACACTCATTCTCCGCAATGTTATCTTCCTTAATGCAACCATCCATTCAGCACGATGCTTTTTAGTAGATTTATTGTACTTCTTGTAGATCCGCTTCAGTTTATTTTTTACAGTTTGACCGTGAAAAACCGTGACGTTCAGTGAAGTAGGAACACATGGGGGTTTTAAAATATCGCGGGTCGTCATTACCTTGAAGCTTGTGTAGATTGGGTAGAAAAACAAATGCATGAGTTGCCGTAAGCATGAGTGTAAGTAATTTTGCAGATGAAGCAAAAGAGCACGGCCAAGTTTGAAGGCCCCACCACCGGTGGTATTAGATTAGTCTTGGTAGAGGAAAGCGAGACACCTGGACCCGATGACCTCTCCTTGGCATTGCTGAAGCACGATGGCTCCCCCTTGGCTGTTGGCCCAACCATTTTCTTCATTACACTACGCTGCACTGAGGACTCGATTTTATATGGGGCATTTGTCAATTGTCGTCCCGATCCGCAAACCGAGCCAGAGTTGCGTGAAGCCGCTGTAGACTTTGGATCTCTAATGCTTCTCTTAGGCTTTTGATTTACTTCCCCCAACAGTGACTAGCTGGTCCCTATTCGGCTGCATGCAGCGGAGGCTGGGCGGGCTTTTCCGATGACACGAGGCACACTGATCATGTATTTAAACATTAGTTACATGAATGTCCAGCGCACTCGAACCGTGTGCAGTGATCATTCTTCTTCACTTGAACACCGCCTGTTTGTAGCGCTGTCTAGATTCTACTGTCGTATCGTGTAGTTTCTGCTGTGCGAAATTCTCCATCTCTGTCCACGGATAACTCACTTGCGTACCTGATGACAAGTTGATCGACCGACAAACGTTACATTCGAATACGCTCTGGATGTCCTACAATCATCCTATCATCTAAGCATTGCCTGTGAATAAACTGACGCTAAGCGCCGTACGCTGTTGCATTTGATTGACATTCTATAGGTACACGGTGCCATTGCAACACTGTGCTTGTATCTCTCATATTTTTACCCTGGAACTGGTTATTCGGTTCACCCTTAACACCATGGTTTTCTCATTTTTCGTGAAGATTTTGCGGCAGGTATATTTTAACTCCTGAATCTTGTTTGATAGCGGCGTGACATTGGTTTACCAGTTAAGAGCTGAACGTTCCGGATTTGCCTGTCCCTTCAACCTCCATACGACAGCCATAACACGCGTACGCCTATAAATGGACCATGCGTGACTTACGCCGCACCGCTCACAGCTCCATCCACACGCCCCATATCCAGTGCAAACCCGAAGGTATAAGAACCGTGGAGCATGTGGATGGGAGCCCCGTTTCATCAATGGAGCCGACCCACACTCCTTCAACATGTACCACAGCAGTATTCCTGTGTGGTGAATCAAACGTTTCAGACATACATAAGTTGCTGGATGGGCCGTCGTCCACTCCACACTGGATGGAACCACACTTGGAGCCTAGGACGGTACGAGAACCGTGCACTTTATCCCCCCGACAACGATTCACAGTGTTCTGAAGACAGCAATCGAGGTGGAGGGTGTTAGACTGGTAGGCATCTTGTCAACATGCACATCAAGCGTAGCCACACCGGGTATAACAACCAACCAACACTGAATATGAAAGAAAATAAACACGCAAATTGACTCGGAGTATGCAGCAGAATAAAAAAACTGGGCAAATCAAATAAGGCGAATACCTTTTATCCTGATTAAGAAGATCTGGTTTAAGTGTACGTCGGTGTAGCCTAGATGCGCTGCGGAAGCATGATGTATGCAACCCCAACCTCAGCGTGAGACATAAATCCATGTGTATCGCCGCTCCCAGCCAAATGAATCACCGGCTGAGTACTGCCTGGGTCCACTAGCTAGTATTGGACGGCATATCACTAGACGTCATAATGAACTTCCTGTTGTTGCGTTCAAAATGCTTGCGCCGACTGAGTTGTCATGGAATGCCCGAAGAACGAACCAGACAACCAGGGGTGTCGAACCTGATAGTTTTTCGTTGTCGTCCGAACTGGCGGCCCCACTAATTTCTCCACGTTTGTCATCAAACGAAAAACCAACACGCCGTTGTTTATGGAACTCGATGAACACCATGCGTTGTCGTCCTGTTATCTACGTTTAGCTACCTTCGCTCATTAGACCGCTCTTCACAGGAGGATCGACTTGCAAGAGAGTGTGCCCTTCGCATGTCCGCATTCGGGTCGCCTCGTTTTGTTTCATTCACTAATCTTTACCTTGTTTGTGGCCTTTCGATGACACGGCTCAAAGTCGACGTGTTTTTCTAGTGAAGTTTCTTTTTTCTGTGATGGACCACATCGACCTTTCTATATGTTATCTGGCTTGGCTAAATCACCAAGTCGTTGACGCTCGTGCACACAGCCTCGCCTCTATCGCCTTTTCTCCCTAGGATTTCTTTCATTGTCTATGCATCCCGATGTTCAAGTTGAAGTGAACTGAGACTACATCACAAATCTATTCACATGCTAAGTTCTGGATTGTGAATGGACGTCACTATAGACACTGCGCGGTACTCGATCCTTTCCCCACTCACTCTTCCTCGTTGTACTCTAATGTCACATGACAAATGGAAAAGCCCGATTGTGGTGGTTGCGATCCTTCTAATCCGCTATATCAGCGAAGAACCACTAGCTCTTAGGTCCCCCACTAGCATATAGTGTGCATGGATAGTGTTATGGCAAATCCTTTAGCTGCATGTCGGGAAAAGGCACATATTAGTGAACTTCCACTTTTCGGTTCGTTTCTGCATACTTCTTTTGATGATCCATCCCCTGCCTTTTGGGATTTAACCCTAGTCGACTCATCACTGGTAAGCAGAATGGGCTGAAACCTGCCGCTCAGCATATTTGCGGAGCTAAATATGCATATGCATATACATCAAACTCGCCTCCTGTTATCACGCCAACTTGTTGCACCTCTACCTTGATGGGTTCAACATGCGATACACACATCTGATCCACTTAACGAGGATATTTATTTATGTACATCATACATTTGACAAGCAGTCATACGTCTCGCCGTCTTCACATCTGGCTAAAGCCTTGAATTGATACACGAACCTTTTAAGCACGTTCTGCAAATTCTCCTGTAATTTTACTCCCATAAGTGAAAAACCTCTGCTCGTGGACTCACATGAATCAGCTATCCTTCTAGACCGTAAGCAACTGGATCCATATTGGAATAGTGATAAAACACCGCGATTGTTGCGAAGTATCCCTTAGATCATCTTGTTAACAGAGTATACGTCTCGATGACTCTTTCAATTGCTCGTTGATTCGTGACACGAACTCGTTTACCCGGGTGAAATATCTGTGCCTTTTACCACTTCTGTTTTTCAATCTATAATTTTGCATTTTTGATGACGCCATTTTGGTTGATCCCCAGCGGACAATGTAATTTGCTAAAGACACAAAAGCCGGCTTTCACTTCTTTTGGCTCTAATCATATTTATACTGTAATTTATTTATTTTTTGTTTGTTATTTTTTATATTATTTTTTATACTGTATTTATACTGTAATCGTATTATACTTATGCTACGCTCGAACTGCAAGTAACAGATTTTGTTTCGAAATTCGTCCCGTTTTTTGCCAACATTTGTGGGTTGACGACTTGCATACTGACCGTGTTATTTTTTTTACTCAAAGGTTCCCGATGTTCTTGTCACATTGGATACATCGGACCCGGTCGATAGCGCACTCCTTACAATTCCTCCTAACCTGGCGAACCGTGTCCGTTGGGCAAAGGGTCAGAGCTTGGATGAGAACACATGGGTAAGGTTGCACTTTTGTGACGGTTTGCTCATGCGACATTTGTTTTTGTTGAACCTGACACGCACACTGTGGGCACACAACACTACCTTTGGTTTTCCACTGCTTTACCTCGAATCGTATTGACATCACCGACCTCTATTGAAAGATTTTCTTTCGTCGCCCTAAACCCTGCGAACCCAGAATTGAGTAATGCGCTATGCTCCCTCTTTTGACATGCTCACTTCGTCATTGTTTTCTCGAATTATGCAGTTTTCTGTTAAATTCAGCATAGAGTCTTTCGATCTACGTGAGCAAGCGCAAAGTTAACCCCGCAGCATTCGGAGCGCAGTTGTCTTATCACCTTCATTGACCTGACGGATGAATCTTGTTTGATTTATGAACGACAATATCCCTCTCATGTTATCCGTAAACAGGGTTAGCTGAGTTCCAGATGTTGACCAGACATTGCGGGTTACCAGTCGACTCGGAAGGGTCACGGAGGATCCCGTGAACTCGTTGGAGAATAGAAAACTGTATGTTGCTTTAACTTCATTTTGGCCGAATAGCTTTACTCATCAACAGTGAATTTTGTTTTTTATGGACATTTATCAATTAGCAGGAGACATTGCTAACATAAAGCAAAACGGAAAACGTTAGACAATTAACGTAACTGACCAATTTCAAGGGTATCGTTGACTTTTCGGTTGAGGCCACATTTGCTATGTTCACACCACTGATGTAGCTGATACGAAAACCTCTGTGGAGATGGTTGACACTAACTCATTCTCTATATTTCCCCACTAGGACTTTCCTTTTGGTCACATGTCTTCAATCAGTTAGTTTCCCCTTTTGTTGCTAGATAACGCCGAGGACTGAACGACAGATTTACGAAAGACTTGATCTGGACAGGTACTTAGCAAGCGGTGCATTACTGCGCAAGTGGACCTATCGCTAAAAATCAACTGGCAGACCACCCTATTTCTCCCACAGTGCCATCGTTGGACCTGGGTCCGTTCTATGATTAACCATTCTCTGATCTGAACACAACCGCCAAGACTATGCCCTGTCTACTACAACTACGATGAGTAACCTTCTGAAGCCACCACGGTAGCACTTGTACTGCTCCCGTGCGTGTTTTTCTTGTAAAAGTACTGGGGTGAAGATAGGAAGAAACTGAGCAGCGATGTGTATTTGAGACGACAGAACCACGTTCCCAAGGCATCAGAAGTATGCCGCCACGCCGTATCGACGTTTTGCTGTCGCGCGATCATTCGCAGTCGCGCGTGGGCTGGGTGTGCTCCGAACGCACCCGCAGCTAAGCGGATTCGAACGGGTAACCTTGGGATCACAAGGCCAGCACGTAATCCTTTCGTCCACCCTTCTAGTTACGGAACAATCATAGAGGAGAAAACCGTGGGGACAATTACTGCCCCTTGGTCTGCATAAAACGGGGTTACGCGGATAAATATTGACATTGTTATTATCCATTCTACATCCTAGATTAGATAGCTTGACTCGACAAAACTTTAATGCCATACCACCACTTGCATATGTACTAAGTTTCATGAGCAACTGTTCGTAGTTATTACGGTGTTTTTACTTTTTTCAACCTTTTGATTAACTTAATTGGTTGGTTGCGTTTAGCACCTCCCATTAAAACAGAATTCGCTACTAAAAACGCGTATCACTAGCTAGGTCCAACTTAGCTTGATCACTGCTCTCATGTCATCCTCCGTCTTTTGTTACCGGAGACTACACCACGGTTTGTTCCGTTGATTCCACAGAAAATTGATTGTGTGCGACGAAACTACTAATCGCAATGACATTGTTTACACTACATCCTTAAGAATTTCCTGCCTGCACAGCCCTCATGAATTGGTTTGTTTCCGCATGTCGATGAGTAGACAATGGGTAAAACAGTTAAATGTTCTAGCGTGTGACCATGTGTAGAGCAATGGTATTCCTCACATTCTGTCCACTTGTCATCATTTTTCAGCGATTGGTGCCCAAAATCTATACCACTCCAACTGTTCTGACTGCTTCTGGAGTTCAGCTGTCTCTAGACTCTCCAGCTTCCGAGCTCCTTACGATCTGCGTGACGTTCGTTTCCCCCAATTCCCATTCTCAAGGCCTTGCGTTAGCTGCGCTGGTTGGTCTTAGTCGGGCTGCTCTTCTCTCCAGTAGTCTTTGGGGTTCAAGCTCATTCGATTTGGACCGCTCCTTGACGCTTGTTCCACTGGAACTTGGATCGGTAAGTGGACGTTTTGCACATAGAAACATTGATGATGTCGTCAGCGCATCCTGCGTTGCGTTGCGCTCTTTTTATCTGGAATTATTGCGTCGTCTTCGAATTTCCATGCTTTTGCTATCCTCATGCTTCGTGAAACTTGTGCATATGTGACCGATCATTACCAGCCACAACCTACTGATTGAAGGGATTATTTTAATGTATCCGCCTCGCCCGGCCTGCCTTGTAATCCGAGGACGCGGGTTCGAGTCTGCTTAAGTGATCGGTCGATCGTCGCGGTATCCTTAGCCCATGTGCGACTTAATAATATTAATAATACGTATATTTCTCGGTTATGCGAGAAGCTGTCCTTTATTGATGACACAATGAATATAGTAATGAATACAGTAATGCATAAGTGAGATATGTTTTCTGGGGCGTGTAACATCAAAACATTCTGAATCACCTAACTTTTGTTATTGCTGTGTTTTGTGTAACATCTTTTCCAACTGGTTATATTTTTATTGGTCAATCCTAGAGGAACTCATTTAGTAATTCACCCGATGGACACATGGTCATTATCGAATTCTGATGTAGGAGATTTCTAAGTTTAATGCGTTATGTTCTTGCATTTGCCCAACATCTGATAGTGGCTGCCTGGTAGGCTATTCCACACGACAGCATATCTGACGATGAAGAAGTTGGTCGAATAACTGTCCTGGTTGCTGACACAGTTAGTTTGCAAGTCTTACAACTCTTTCGAGATATGGCGAAAAACGTTATAAAAGTTGTCAACCTTGAATATCATTGTCGTTCTCATGTAATATTTAAAATATTCGACTTACGATATTTCAGGATTCACAAATGTGATGTCATCATAAGTGTGCAGTCGTTCTCTGAATCGAATAGAGGCAAAATGCAAATCTAACAACGTTTTGAACTGTTGCACAGATGTTGCCTCAATCACATGTTCGGGCAAACTATTCCAAATGTTTACCACTCTCCGTTCGAAGCACAGTGGGTGGGGAACACGTTTCATATCCGGCACAACAAGTTTGTATCTGTGTCCGCGTGTGCTGCATGGCCCTCGTAAGTGCAGCATTGGCCTTAACATGGGGAACTCACCGAGATGTAGAATTCGGTAGGTCATAATGAGGTCGACTCGCACCCGACGGTAGGACAAGGTGTAGAGTCCTAGTTTCTCGCACCGGTCTTCATACCCAAAGCCACGTAAACTCGGGATGAGCCTGGTAGCAACGTGTTGGACCCGTTCGATCTTTTGTGCCTCGCCTCGGGTAATCGGAAAGTAGGCGGGCGAACCGTACTCTAGCATTGGTCTAATGATAGAAGAGAACAGGCGAGTGGCAACCTCTTCAGACCATGTGCAGAAGCTACGTTTGAGCGCCCAAAGCATGCGCAGTCCGTTCCGATATAGCCTGTTCGTGTTGTCCACGGACTTCAAATCGTAGCGTGAGAGTACACCTAGGTCCTTCACGGAGGGTGTGGGATATAGCGTTTGGCCGTCAAGGGTGTAGGTTCGGCCGTCTGCACCCTTCCCCAGGCTCATAAATACCGACTTGGCTGGGTTGACCGGGAGAAGAACTTCTGCAGACCATGTGGATAAGCGGTTGAGATCTTGCTGAAGTAGGCCACAGTCATCGGGAGCGTCGATTTCTCTCCAAATCTTCATGTCGTCCGCAAACAAGGCACACGGCGACCGGAGAAGCTGCGGTAGATCGTTGATGTGGATCAGGAACAGAGTGGGGCCCAGCACAGTGCCTTGAGGCACGCCACTTGTAGAGGGGTACCAGTCAGTTAGATGGTCGTCGACCTGTACCCTCCACTTTCGTCCAACAAGAAAGTCGCGGATCCACCGGTGCAGTGAGCCACCGACGCCACACATGCTGAGTTTGTGAAGGAGAACCTCATGACTGACCTTGTCGAACGCTTTACTGAAATCGATGAATATCACGTCGACGGACTTCCCCTTGTTTATTGCCTTCAACCACTCATGCCTCGTCACAAGCAGGTTAGTAATGCATGAGCGACCTTGCATAAAACCGTGCTGTGCGGGCGTCAGGACCTCGTTTGACTGTAGCAACTGCAGCAATCTCTTCTTCACGATTTTCTCAGCAACCTTTGCCAATATAGGTGTCAGACAAATTGGCCTGTAATTGTCTACTTTGCTAGGGTCGCCGCCTTTCGGAATAGGCTTCACCACCGCACATTTCCAGTCAACCGGCAACAAACCTTCGGAGAGCGACCTGTTGAAAAGGTCAGTCACGACAGGAGAGAGGATGGTTGAAAGTGACTTGAGAACCAGTGGGTGAAGCCCATCAGGTCCGGCAGGTTTGGTGCCGTCAAGGTTGGCGAGTAGTTGAGCTACCTCTTCGACGCCACAATGCAGACTATCGAGTTCGGTAAAAGCGGTACACGTCGAACTCGGAACAGACACCTGGTTATTCGCAAATACAGAAGCGAAGTGCGCCGCCAACGCGGACGCACGCTCAGAGCTGGAGGTTAGGGGCTGTCCATCCGTGCCATCCAGCACTGGCACATCACCCGCCGGCTTCAGGCGTCGCTTCACGTATGCAAAGATTCTCTTGGGGGCGGTCTTCGCGGCTAATGCGAGCTGCTCTTCAAAGTGTCGGCGTTTATTCTTTTTTGCACTGTTGCAGAGGTTCCGCTGACATTTATACCCTTCGTAATCATTGGCAGAGCCAGAGAGAAGGATTTGTCCCACAAATCTTGCACAGATGCAGCTGGTGACAGAGACCAATCCAGTTGGCTCGCTGCTCGAGCACAAGTCTCCACGCAGGGAAGACCGGATGTAAAGTAAGACACCACCGTGGGCATTCTTTAGTCTATCGCATCGGAAACACGAGTAACCGTTGAGTTCAAGTTCTTGGGTGTATAAATCTGCATGCAGCCATGTCTCTGCGAGTCCCACTACGTCTGGCCGCTCAGACGCAACGAAACAACAATGCTCATCGCGCTTATTCATAATACTGCAAACGTTTGTGAAGGCTACTCGCAGGCCGCAGCAGAAGCCACCGGGCGTGCTTGAAATGTGAGCAGCCTGTTTATCCTGATTCGCAGATTGTTGGAAACCACCCGAAAATTTACGATATGAAGATTTGTTTCCCCCTCACCAGTACGTCTTTTCAGCTCAATGATTGCAGACTTGATCCGCTCCCTGTCTACTGGGTCCAGGTCTTTACGAACATGGATCTTCAAACCTTTCAACCTACTTAAGCGTGACATGATCAGTCTTGGACTGGCTTCGTCCAGAAAAGTGATTCTCATAGGCCGATTTTGTTGATCACCTTGCTTTCCAAGACGGGTAATCTGCCTCACTTTTACCGAGTCCTCACCAGCGTCGAAGAGTCTATCAATTAGACCCTGTAAAAACTCGACATCGTGATCGTAGCGCACTTGGGGTGATGAATCACTGGACTCCGGTGCTTGAAAGATCACTAGATTATAACGCCTCTGGTCGGACGAGGTTGGCCTTGCAGGGCGAAGTATACTACCAGCCGCAAGTGGTTTGGCTAACTGTTGACTTACAGAACGTAAACGCCCAACGTTCCTTCGTAATTTCGTCCTCTGATCTTTCCACTGGTCTTCAGCACTCAGACTTTCGGATACGGTGACACAAAAGGTAACAATTTAGCCCAGGTGCAACTGGGCTTCTCACAACGGTTGGACTTCGGGTCAGTGAGTTTGCACGGGTAGAGGAGGACGACTGAGCCGAAACCTGAAGGCTCTTCGCGCTAGGTTGTTGGGCCAAACACACGGAGCTGTTCGCAACAATTCTGGCTGTATCTGATTTCGGCAATTTTCACATATAGTTTGGACGAAATCGTGTTGGATAGTAGCTCAATTTCCACGAAATACTTCCAATGAACGCAGAAAGTTAACACAAAGTGATCTTGTCAACACAGCCAAAAATAACCGACCGGAGGACGCTATCCGAGTGAAGTTATGTTGCATTTTAACTGTGGTGCTTGCGCGGCAGAGATGAGTCGGTACTTCATACCGGTGTACTACCGATTCGCCGGGTTTTCAATTCCTCCCTGTCCGCTTTTTCCCTTTTACGTATTTTCCTTTGAAATACTTTGTGACTGCCCTGTCTTCTACCGTTTGGCACTTACACAAAACGACCTTATATATGTATAAGAAAGACAGGTGGCGGAGAAGTAGACAAAAACAACGGTCGAAAAGCCGACTTATTATATAAGTTGTCAGAGTTTAGTAGGGTTTTTCGTCCTCATGTGGTGATTTCTCGCGGCCAACCTCAAAGCGACAGCCGCCACACATCCGGGAAAGCGCTAGACAACCATTCCGTCTGTATCGCGCATCCGTCAGATCTCCCTGGATCTGAGTTCGTGTTCTCAGTCGTACAACTTGGCGATTTAAACCACCGAGAGAAGAGTGACATTGGTGATTTCCATAAGCTGCGATAGGACGCTGCTCATCCTTCGCTGTTGTGCATCTTTTGAACACAGAGAGAGATCAGAGTTGCCTTCCACCTTAGAGACACGACGACCTCTGCAAGTCGCTACCAATCGGCGTGGCATGTACACTGGTCAGAATACTAAGCACTCATAGCTCACTGGCTTAAGTCTCTGGATCGTAGGAGTAATGTAAGGCGTTTGCGTCCAGCCAGGTTCGAGGGATTCGCATTAACGACGAGTACCAATAGGACTTAACTGCCGTCTGGCACTTTCCCGAATCTGTAGCAGCTGTTTGCTTGTGGTTGGCTGCGATGGACTTTCTCAAGAGCACGAAATGTCCCTACTATTCTCTAAAAATTTACCTGATACATCGTTTTTGTGACCGTTGTCACTGTCTACTCCTCCGCCACTCTTTACCTTTTGACCGATAATAAAACCATAATCGAACTAACAAACACTGTACTGGTCGACGTAACAGTGAGTTCGTAAGCGTCAACTTATCCATCTGCTTTCCACTTTCGCTCGTTGCCCGTTTGCGTGGTGCGCGATCTTTTTCTACCAGACTGATTTGCTTGCTGTTTTTTGGACAGTTTAGGTCTTTCAAACACGTTGCGAGCTTTGTTAGAAGCACTGTTTGTGCAAGTGAATTGCGACATGCAGCTTTCATCCTGCAACCTTTGTCAGTTTCGACCATAACTATCAGCAGGTGGCTGAAACAATTGCGCGATTACCTTGTAATTTGGAGGTCAACGGTTAGATTCTATGTGGGTGCGATTGACCTCAATATGCTCAGCCTACGCGCGACTGTTGCTCATCTCATGACACCGAGGCACCGGCACTGTATGTCAGCGTATTGCTGTTTCCTTGCCAATCACTCCTCGGACTTTTATTGGCCATCTCACAATTAAGCACAAACTAAAATGCATTCTGTTCGACCCCCGCGCTTACTGCATGCACAAATTGTCACCTTTTTCGGCATCCGGCATGTTTAATCGTTTGCGCTTTTGGCTTGTTTCCAAGCCACCCAACATTTTTGACAGATCATACTACGGTCCGTCTTTCTGGTGTTACTGCTGATGCGTACTCCTGTAGTTATATCTTTACGGTGTTCGCCATGGTTGTTTCATTCCACCATACCTGATTGCCTTGTGTTACTTTTTCGTGTCTCACGATACAGGTTTCACTATCCGCCCCAGGTAAAACTGATGTGTTTTACGCCTCCTACTTCCTCTTGTTTGGTAATCTCAGAGTGGCATAGTTAACGCTGGAGTGATCTCACCATTACACCTTCAGCGTACTGTTGTAGAATCACTAGTCCTTGTTTTACGAGCCTTAACGACGAATAAGTGAAGGCAGTTGCTCAGTTCACTTTACACGGGTGGGAGTTTGCCTTCCTTGTTTAATTTGTGCTTTGCAAAAACAAAAACTATCTTTTGCTACCTGTGAAGCGTTTGGCAGTGGAAAGAGATTTTCCTTATGGGCAGTATTTCCAATACCACAGCGACGTTCATACTTCTGTTGGCAATGTGACATTTTTTCGATCTGAGTATCTCAGGCACGTTCATTATGTTTTCGAGAAGATGCGTAGCAGGTTTACTCACCCAGACAGTCACCACACATGCAAAATAACAATGGACTGCCTTTTCGTGCTATTGGGACTCGTCAGTGGAGCGCCTCCACCGTATCCTTCTGGACTCGTAGCAATTAAATTACTCTTACGAGTCAGCGACCTGTGTCATTGAGTTATGGGTGATGGCGGCAGATCGCCATGACTGATTTCTAACTGCGATACAGTGCAGTTCAGAACTGAGCTGGCCCCCAGAGCTACGGCTAACTTTGTAAGCTGCCACTAGTCGATGTGGCTTGTTAGCTGCTAAGGCTTAATGTGGCAGTGGCACAAATATCAGACTCGTAAGATTAAGATCTTGGTTTCGGATCCCGCAGGATCCTGCAGATTCGCGTAACTCATGAGTTCCATTAGGACGAAACCCTCGTCTATCGCTTTCCTTGATGTGTGCTGGCAATTTGACTGAATCTAGCTCCGATGAATCTTCTCAACATATTTCAAGCGCTTTCAGTTGTTTGCTTTGTTTAGTGATGCTAGCCCATCATTTGCAAACGCCTGTACTAGTGCATACTGTGTGGTGAATATATGGTGTATTCTTTTAACAAACATGTGTCCGAAAATGTTGCGATGCTTGAATCACAACTTCCACATACATCCCCCCGCCATTCATCGAGAAGAGCCGAGGTTTGCTTGTTGTGCGTTGAAGCTTAAGGTTCGACAGCACAGTTAGCAGTCTCCCGGATAAATATAGAATCTGTCCTCTACGCTGAGGTCTATATGGTCCACCATTTGCTTGACTCAGGAAAGCACAGAAGGATGTGTTCAGCTGGTGTACGTGGAAACCGCTGTGTCTAACACCACTGTTTGTTGAAAGTATAGCACTGAGTTATTTTTAGAGTTGAGTTGCTTATGACCTCACCTCCTTTGTCCTATTTTTACGCAGCTGTGACCATCTTGCTCCTGTTTGTTTGCTTAATGCATTGAACTGCTAACTATGTAACTCCTTTTTCATTCTTCTCAAATTCGCATCGTCCTTCTTGGTTTATGATGTTTTTTGAGGTACTTCTCTACTGTTATTGATGCTGACACTGCTGTTGTCGATTATCTGAATGTTGTCTACAGTGCATTGTCGGTAGTCTTGTGTTTATGAACCAATTCTTGCTCGACTCTACTCGTTCTCCTCATCGTAAAAGGTCCAAGCGAATGCGGCCCGAGATAATGTTATGAGTTTTCACCTGTTAACTGCTTATGGAAGTATTAGTGTAATCATAACGAATAAGTACAGATACCGTGCTATCCCTAAGCCTTTTACTTACTTGTATCCAAGAGTTACCAAATCGGTCTACTGTTCGCGTATGTGATCCCCACCCATCGGCGAGTATTCCAACAATATGTGGGTCATCGGATCTACCAGTGCACGAAACGACGCTGCTACGCCTCTTTGCCTTATCTACCCGAAGTCAAAACGCATTGTTGGGGCTTCGAGCTGAACATCAACTTCAGAGTCGATAGTGTAGGTATAAAAGTGACGCCTTTGTTCGTCAGAATACTCCATTTCTATCCGATTTTAAAACGTTTACTCTTGGTCCGGTGATCGGAACTTCACTCATATACGCTTAGCGACGTTTACGTCAAATTTCGTCTGCCATGACTTTGATCCCTCGAAATAAAATGGCGTAAAGTGACAAAGCCCAGTTCTTCATCCTGCTAGCTTGATGCACCCTATATCCGCGCAAGCACATTGACAACAGCGGCGTTGTTGGCACAGCTATCTATGTTTTGCGTCAATTGTCAACACCGTTTGTTTATTTATACGCCTTCTGTGTAACTGCGCTCTACAAAAGACTTTGCTCATATATTACCTCGTGTTATCTTTCAATGTTCCGTTTCATGTCTACACTGTCCCTGTAGCTGGCTCAATCAAATCCGCCCTACTTACTCTCCAGTCCCGTTCTCGTCTCCGAACCCTTGATGCACTCAGCTTTTTCTTCACCCTCGACCTTCTCCATGCTCGTGACGACATTCAGCGGCCGACTGTACAAAGTCCCCCTACCCCTGGGCCGTGATACCTCGACTCCTGATGTTTTATGGAATTTTACAGGGCAATCTTCTGTCTCCCTATCGGTAGGCGAGTGTTTCGCATTTTTTGTAACATACTATTTTCATTGTCACATATCATGAAACCCTTCTACTCATGAGTAGTCAAACATTATCCCTAGCTATTGTGTAGTTTCCGGCTACTTGTTTCCTCGTAGGTTGATCGGAACTGTGATTACCAAATTCACACTGAGCAGACAAGCTTTCATCTACAACTTATCTCCTCTCACATCATCTTCGTTTATTTGTAAAGTCGAAAGTGCTTCTTGTCCGGTAGCTCATTGCGTTTATCCAGCAAGTGCCTCTGAAAACTATGCACATATTCGAATGCCCCGTAATATTCATTTTGGTTGCTGGACGCTTACCACCACTACTATCTCTACTAACGACGAATAAAGGTGCTTGCTATGTATTTTCTTTCCCCAATCTCTGCTTACTTCGGGAGCATTGGTTCGAGGACTGTATGGAATATCCGCTAGGCAACTTTCTGACTTCCGACATCTTTACAGTGACTGCTACTACGAAAAGAGTCTAATTATGTACTTTTCAGCCGATAACCGCTCTGGTATCAACCACATCGCTGCACGTATACTCATTCTGACATGGTGCATTCACATTCATTATGTCTCGCATATATTCGATTTAAATGACTAACATATATAACTTAGGAGGCACAAGTTGTGGATTGCTCATTTATCTCGTGCACTCTCGTCAGTCGCCAACATGCAATCACCCTTCGACATTCTCCCGAGTGAATCATCCACTGCCATAAGGCTCAATGAGGTATCAGCAGTACGCCGGTACGCAGTACGGACGCTCCGCTGCCGCGCAACCACCAGCAATCGCACGGGGGTCGCCCTGCCTCTCTGACCCGCGCCGTCACATTACAAAACAAGCTTCTTTCCTTCTAGCTACGTTCCGGCCCTAAGGCTCAGTAAGACATTTTACTGAGTCTTTGGCTCAATAAATGTCTTAACTGCTAGGGGTTAAAAACCAAGCGCGGCATCCGCTCTACATCGAGGAACAGCTGACTGCTAATGAACTCGCCGGCTGCCAACGATTGGCTATCAATCAACTTTGCATTTTGGAATATCTGTCATTGATTGCGCGTTTGTGCTTGGTATGAATACACTAAATGATTGCGTCTCCTGACATTTTACACCTGATCTTGTTGTCTGACAACTAGGTCTCTTTTGTCCCATTGATGCACTCTGAATGGTGAACTAACGATGCGCTCCGATGCCATGGATTTCATGACGAGCCAATCTTTTTACTTCTGCACATTCGAACTGTGCGCTTTTCTTTCTTGAAAACGCCTTTTCTGCAAATATTATCGTTGCTTTCAAGAAGCGTTGAGACGCTATTTTTTCCAGGGGCGAAACTTATATTCAACTATCTTGTGCAGATTATTATGCCGATTAAGTATTTTACCTTGGGTTTCATACAATTTCCCCTTCAGTGCGTTCCAGTGGACTGCCCTCCGAAATCCTCCTCAGCATCCACGTCTTCTAATTTCCTCTCCGAATCTCGTCTGTGCTGTCTGCTGTTGGACGACTCCTCTCACCTTCGACTGATTGACATAAGCCCCCTAGACAAGCGTGCCAAACACCCATCAGCCCGTCTGCGTTGGGAATATTCCCCGGAGCCTGGCACTGCACCGGTCGATTCGCTCAGTCAATTGGGCCACTCAACGCTGGTTCCCATCGATTGTGACAACCGACCTCACGTCACATGTCACTTATGGGTAGTGTACCCGACCACAGACGGGTACATGTTTCTAATGCTCTGCTAACACGATCTTTGTGGTATTTTGCTTCTGTCCTTCGATATTGTTTTAAGACTGGTCAGCTTCTACCCAAAGAACGTGCTATGTGATAACACAGTCGCCGCCGTAGTTTTATGACTCCTTTTGTAAGTTGATGATGTCCAGTTGTTACGAAGGCGATTTCGACCATTGCGCTGCCTTGCATCTTCAAAGTGCATGTATTTCATCATATCTCTGTTCCTTTTCAACTTATGATACTACTGTGCCATTGAGCTTACAACCCTCGTTCTCTTCACTTCGGATCGACCAGTAAACATAGTTGATCCGCTTAATTAGGTAGTTTTATCACCCCTGGCAGTGAAATCATCGGCTGGCCCATGATATGAAGGATTACAGCTTGAGAGCGCAGTTTCCCGCATGCGTAGGGACCAGGTGACTCTCGCAGTATCCTTAGCGTACGCTCTGCTGTTGGGGGTCACGCGGCAACGAAGCGTCACTACTGCGTAGCGGCGTATTGCGGATATCTTTTTGGTCAAGTCATCAGCGCGTGTACGACACACATTGACCAGGCATTCTTTGTGCTGTTTTTGTTTCTTTACGTTGCTCTGTCGCCGTTGGTGACATTGTTCATGTCAGCTGAGTCCGTCCAGTTTGCTTGGCTAGTTTTAGAGAAATAACTTAACCGACACGCACCTGGATTTAGGGACAAGCCTTGACTACCACCATAGCCAGGCTTTTGTTGTTTCGTCTCTAACCGATTGTTCTGAGTCCTAAACGAAGCACCAAAAGTTTCACTTCTTACGGTCTCCACACTTTACGTCGTTTTTGTTATCCCCATTCAAATTTCCTGTCTCCAAATCTTCCCTGCGTTTCTACAGACGTCGTAGCACTTTTTCTCCTTCCATTCAATTTATGTTTCCGTTTTTTTTCTGTAGTTCGGTACATGCAGTGGACTTCAATACTGGGACACCGGTCGATGGTTATCCAGTTAAGTTGTTCGTTCCTGAAAAACCGGATTCTGGTAATGCTTTCTCAATGGGGTTGCGCACATTCGCGTCTGGTCCGGGTCTTCTGTATACCGCTCCCGATTCCTCATTGTGGATGGTGAGTTTCTGTGTCCGTCCCGATCCCGCCTGGCTTCTCCTCTTCAAACATGACCTCACTCTCCATTCGTAATAGAAAACGGAGCATGGAAGGTCATTTTGATGCATTTGCTGTGTGCGTATGTATTACGACACGCAATCTCAACGCGGACCGTCATTCGTACTGAAACGAATCTTGGCCAATTCCATCACTAGGTTCGTAGCTGAAGTGTATGGGACTTGAGGGTTGCCCACTCCAAAAACACTGCGCTGCACTAGCGTTTCCATCTTGTTTGGTCTTATCAGGTAGAGATAGCATACCTCGAGTTCGCGACCATTGGAATGTCAGTCAGGAGTTAACCCCCAGTCTTGGAGTGTTATTGTTCCAACTCGGCCCGTACTGAACCACTACACTTAGTAGAAGACAGTATTCGGCCCGTAATGCACGAAAGTAGAACATGTCAGTTTCAGCAATACACAGAATGTCTTGTGTTGCCACAAAGCACGCTTCGCTGGCGTTAATGGCCACACACTGACTAGTGGATCCAACCAATAAGAACAGTTTAATCAATGACTGGCAGCGTTGGACTGACACACTTCGCAGATGTCAACTTTCTCCTCCCTTTTGTATGGAACTACCCCAGCTGACCCGGTATCAATCAACTGAGCGGCGACATTGCGGTGTCTCCGATTGATTGGTATTCTGCACGTCTTCCAACTCAGTGAGTGCGCTTGTCGGTGTGTCGGCTGGCGGAACCGAGGCAGGGCGGGGACGGACATGGTCCTTGTGCCGAATGACTATCCTGCTGTCTGGTAGAACAACTTCCGTATTTTGTCCCGCAACTTTGCGCACATCTCCAGGCTGCCTGTTTGTTTCGTTAGGCAATTTGCTATAAACCGTTTCGTTGTCACAGAGTTGTCGATCGACCGCCCTCCGATCATACTCGGCCTTAGACTTATCTTGTTTGGCCTCGACATGTAGTCTCTGATCGAGGAACAGCAAGTCTAACCGTGTCCTTTACCTCCGCCCGAACATTATTCCACCTTGGCTCTTACCAGTCGTTTCGTTCATTGTGAATTGATGACCAAAAAGGAATTTTTCTAACTTTATTCGCAATGGATCCGGCACTTGTTTTCGAAGCCCGTTTTTGACCGTTTGGACCGCCCTTTCAGCCAACCATTAGAAGCTGGGGGGTAAGGGGCCAACTTCAAGTGACGTTATTTTTCAGAAATTCCTGACTGGTAAACACCGAGCCATTGTCCGTCACTAACATGTGCTGTATACCGAAGGTGGTAAAGCACGTTCGCGTGCATGAAGTCGTAGTCTCTGACGTTGCTCGTGTTAGCGGAAAAACTTGATCCATTTGGACTAAGCGTCGATCAAGAGAAAAAACACCTTCCCCTCGAGTGGTCCGAAGAATCCGTCATGTACACTCTTCTATGGTTTACTGGGCCATTTCCATGGGCTGAGTTGTCCAGGAGGGGCGCTTCTTTCTTTGCTTTGACAAGTGTCGCAGTGTCGGATTAACTGTTCAATAGCTATGTCGCTATTGCGCCACCACACCTAAGACCGCGCTGGTTCTTCCTCGTTATTCCCGGGTGAGTTTCGTGCAGCTCTTGTAGAACATTTGGATGCAATGGGGGTGGTATGCTCGATCGCTCTGGATCCCCAGAGTAGACATCCATCTTCAAGACTTAGCTCGGAGCGTCGAGTGAATTTTGGTAGCAGTTGCGGCTAACATTTATCAAGCCATCCCTCGGATACTAAACGCTTAACCCTTGTAAGTAGTGCCTCGTTCGGTTTCATGACGGATATCTGCGCTTGGCACGGCTTTCCCACTAAGTAACCAGTTCAGCAGGTTTCAGTATGCAATCGCATAACTGACTTAACGGTAGTCGGTTCAGAACGTCGGCGACTCCATTCGCTTTCCCAGGAACATATGAGATTTTGTAGTTGTAGGCCAAAAGCAGTAAGGCCCAGCGTTGCATATGAGAAAACGCCATCTGCTTGATGCCCTTTTCCTCATCGATCAAAATTACTAACGGTTTGTGGTCTGTACAAATTCCAAGCTTTCTTCCCCAAAGTTACTGGGGAAATTTCTTGACCCCAGTGATAACTGCTAAGATTTCCTTGTCAAGCTGCGCGTAATTCCTCCCTGAATGCAAAAGCTATGGGTCGTTCGGCCATGGCATCCATTTTGTGAGACAGCACGTCTCCGAGCCCTTTGGGTGATGCGTCGCACCGGAGAGTAATCGGCCTCTTTGGATCAAAGTGTACCAGCGAATTGGCCTTACTTATAGCCAGCTTGACAGCAGCATAAGCATTTTGTTGTTTTGGTGACTACAGCTATCGGGCATACGCAGCAATGCATACAAGGATGCGAGCGTAGTTGCTAGGTTAGGCAAACAATGACTGTAATACATCACCATCCCGAGAAGTGATTGGAATTCGGGAATGTTACGCGGTGTCGACGAATTGAGAATGGGTTGACCTCTCTCCCATAATGGATGTCACGTATGTGTGTCCAGAAGAAACCCCAAGTACTCGACTGTATCGGAGAAAAAGACACTTTGAGCGTAAGTCCGCTCTCTTGGAGGCACTCCAAAACAGTAGTGAGTACCGTGAGATGCTCGTAATCCGTACTGCCAATAACCAAGGTATCGTCCAAGTAAGCACACTCCATGTACACGTTTCACTAAATTGTCTAATCCTCTGAAAAATCGTCGGCGCAGAGTGTATTCTGAATGGTAATCGGTTATAGTGAAACAACTCCAAGTGTGTATTAATAGTCGTAACTTCCTTAGCAGATTCAGGAAGTTCCACTTGAGAATAAGCGTTGCTCAGATGAAGTTTGAAGTACTTTGGTCCACCCGACAACGTTGCATAGAGTTTGTCTATTCTTGGAATAGGACAGTAGTCATCGCTTGATTAGCCGTCGGTTTGTAGTCACCACAAATGCGAATCGAGCCAACTGGTTTTTGTACTGGAACGATACGTGCAGGCCAGGATGAGTGGCGTGAAGATGAGATTATTCTGTCTTTTTGAAGGTGTACCAGCCCCGACTCTACCTTCGGACGGATCGCAAAAAGCAAGTTTCGTGCATTGAAAAAATCTCGCTTGCGTACCTGGCATGATGTTAAAACGAGCTTGGAAATCACATAATTTCCCGGGCAGATTTGCATCAAAAACATTAGCAAAGTGTGGGCGAATCGAGAATGTGATCCACCATTTTGATATTTCGAAGTAATTTCGGCAATTCCTCCAATTCGCCAATTCCTCCCAAGCAGGTTCGGCCGTCGGTGTTAACGACGATCAAGGTAAGAGTCAACGTATCGCTGCCATGATTTACCCTCACATCACACACATCCAATACATGGAGCGCTTTTTCCGTATAAGGACGTAATGTAGACTGAGTCGGTGTCAGAATCAGATCACGCAATGTTCGCTTGTTGGTCAAGGTGACTCATGCCCCGGTGTCGATTTCCAAGCGTACTGGCTGGCCCTCTATGTCCAGCTCCACAGTTTATGGGGGTAATCCCATGATATAAGATGTTTTAGTGTATGATATTAAATACAATATGGACTCGTCAGCGTTTTCCACAGAACAAACAGCATTTTCTGCAGGGCGGAGTACCGATCGCTGGTAAAACGTCGAACGGCATACGCGTGCAAGATGTCCAACTTCGCCGCATTTGTGACAGGTAGATTGCTTGTCTTTACAGTCAGCAGCGTTTTCATGCCTTTCACCGCATCGGTAGCAAGTAAAATAACGCGATTTAACAGTGTGAATTTCGTCGGGAAAAGAATCGTTCCTGATAGTGAACCAATTGTTGCACCAAATTCTCGCGTTGTCTGACCAGCGCACATGCTGTCTCCCGATTAAGTTTGTTCTCGTCTTCCGAAAGTAGACATTCCCTGGCTTTATCCTCCTGGATACGAACCAACAAATACTGGATGGCCATTGTCTCTTCAACCTTCGTGGGTGGAATTTCATTATAACGGCAGTCTGAAAGTGATTCTTCTACACATCTGATGAATTCATTAACACCTCCCTCTCCCTGTCGTAACTGGGACAAGCTCAGGGTTGCCATGAAGGCATACTGCCGCGACCGCCAAGGGTAATCGAGTGCTTTAAGACTGCCGGATAAATATGTGCTTTCGTACAAACGCAGTACATCGAAATGCCTTTGACTTTCTGCACCAAGATGTTGTCTCCGGTGTTTGACAGATTGGGCTTCGGTAAGATTAATGTGAGGATTTGTTACTGAGAATAGTTCATGGTAATCGCAGAAGCTTCTCTTCCAACCAACCCAAAGCGCTAAAGTTGGCTTACAGATACATCCTTCCAAAACGGTTCAGGTGAAATGAGCTGGCTCATAGCAAAGGTATCCGAAATTGATCTCCGTCACCAGTGTTACAACTCCGCCCGTACTGAACCACGACACCTAGTAGAACGCAATATTCGGCTCGTAGCGCACGAAAGTAGAACACGTCAGTTTCAGCAATACACAGAATATATTGTCGCCACAAGGACACCGCTTCGCATAAGGTCAGACAGTCTAATCAGTGGTTGGTTGGTGTTAATGGACACACGCACTGACTCTGATGGATCCAACCAATAAGAGCAGTTTAACCGATGATTAGCAGCGTTGAACTGACACACTGCGCAGATGCCACGGTTTTCGGCTTGAGCCTGTCGTTATTTGCTTTGATTTATCTCCCTTTTTCTATTATCACGTAATTGATTTTTATTGCATAACGATAGCCGAGATGTTTTCATCTAGCCAACGGTTTAATGATGCCGACGACCGATCGTTACATTCACGTTAAAGTACCATCTAAAACCACTAAGGTAAAACAGCCGCTAGTTGACCACTCAAGGGACTGGACCAGTGTTCATTATAATGTGGTGATAAACATATGGAGGTCCTATAAAAGCGGCGCAGCTTACTTTCCTCGTTATGTTTTATACAGTATAAACTTTATTTTCACGCTATCCTCTTTCCAATACATTGGGCGAG